GGGGTGGTGGTGGTGGTCGTGGTGGTGGCGGTGGTGGTCGTGGTGGTGGTGGCGGTGGTGGTGGTCGTGGTGGTGGTGGTGGCGGCGGCGGCAGGGGTGGTGGTGGTGGTGGTGCTGCTGCTGCGGCGGCGGCGGTGGCGGGGCGGTGAGTAGTCGTAGGAGCATTGGTAGCAGTAGTAGCAAGATCACAAGGGAAAGGCTGTGGTAGCTTGAGGGTTTAGGGTCCAGTAGGGAAATCTGTGCACGCTAAACCCAATGCCCCATACCACTAACCACAAACCAACCACGAACCCCACACCCTAAACCCTTAAATCCAAACCTGAAATCACAAACCCTAACTCCTAAACCCTAAATCCCAAAGCCTAACTCCTTCAACCCCAACCCCAATACCCCAAATCCCTCATTCCGGCCTCAAGGCAGCGACAAAACCGAAGGACTCAGACACCGGCAGGTGGGCCTTCACCTGCACCAAAGGCGTACCTTCCAGGGTGGTCGGCTAGGGGGGTCTAGGGGTTTCGGGTGCAGAGAAGGGTTTGTGTCCTAAGGTTGAACGAATTTGGGGTCTCAAGCTTAAGGTTGAAGACCCCCTGCGATGGAATTGCAAGACCTACCAGATTGAAAAATCTCTCTCTCTCTCTCTCTGTCTGTGTCTGCATACACACTGCAAGAGCCTCTTTACATCCCCCCTACCCGGGGACCTTCCCTCTGGTTCTCCTCGAAGACACAGCCGCGGCGCAGGTTCATGCAGTTGTAAACACCACTCATGGCCTCCTGCGGGCAGGTGATCTCGACCAGGAATACAGGCTCCTGCCGGCTTGGCTTGGGGTTTGCAGGGCTTGTAACCTTACAGGGCTGAAATGGTTGTAGGGCTTTTACGGGGTTTACAAGGGTTCAGAGGGTGTATAGGGTTTTAAGGTTTGTTTTAACATTCACAGGTTATAGGGATTAGATGGGGATTACAATGCAAAAGCTGCGTAGTCGTGGTCGTAGCGTAGCATCAACAGCAGTAGCGGTGCTCCTTTCTCTAGCTGCTCAGTACGGTTGCTGCTACTGCTACGACGATCAATCATCTCCTCCTCCTCCTCCTCCTCCTACTACTACTACTACTACTACTACTACTACCACAACCATCACAACCGTCAGCACCACCGCCGCCGGCACCACCACCGCGACGACGACGATGAGAAGAACTAAACAAATTCCGCTGCACTTTACAGTGGTTATTGGCTTCGTTAAGTTAATGGGATTGGCTGGTGCGTAAGGCAAAAAGCAGGACCATCAAGAACCCTGGCCTCAAACTACATCACCGAGCATATTTTTGCAATCGAACTGGAACATTGCAACCTACCATTGCCCCTCACTCATTGAATCCAAAAGAAGAAAAGTAAGAACGCTACAGCAGCACACATATAATTGGTGATCCCACTGGAAGCATGAGAGTGTTCCATGAAAATTGAGCTCGCTCCTGCAAAGTTGGCTTGGCCGTCAGCTCTGCTGCGAAGCAGCAACGACGGGTGGGAGGCATGATCCTTGGTTGGCTTTTGGAGCCTTTGAAAAAATATTAGTGTATAGGGTCCATATGAAACCAAGTGGAAAATCCCTACCTGGACCCCAAAAGTATGTAAAATAATGGCCTTTATGGCTATTATTATGGGTTTAGGGCTATTATTTTACATACTTTTGGGGTTTAGGTAGACCCTAAACCCTAAAAGGCCAACCCAGGATCTGTCCGGCACCGCGATGGATGGCATCAGTGTGCAGGGTCACATCCATGAGGTTGAAACGGATGCCTTGCATAGGACTATAGTCCCCCTTAAGTAGGTAGAATATGGCTTTGGGTATATCATAATAAGATCCCCATATAGCCCATATTCTATCTACTAAAGGCGGACTAACCCTAAAACCCTAATGTTTAGGGTTTGGGGTTTAGCCCAGCCTTAGGGTTTAGGGTTTAGGGTTTGGGGTTTAGCCCGGCCCTAAACCTAAACCTCAAACGCCCAGCAGATAGGGGGTCATAGTCCAGGATTTGGGTTGCTATTATTGCTGGCAGTACTCACATTACTCTAGGCTGCTCTAGTTTCACCTATACTATACTGCTAGTTCATGTTATTTCAACACATGACAAGATTTCCAACTCGTACCAGAAACCTAGACCCTACCCCTAAACCCTAAACCCTAAACCCTTAACCCTAAACCAAACCCTAAGCCCTCTGAACGCTTGATCGAAGCCGATGCCTCGCATGTTCTCCTCACACAACGGTCCCTCCTTGGTGGCCCACTGGAACGCACTGTTCACATGCTCCTTGATCTCAATCAGGTACTGCACACCTTGCACAGAATTGGGATTGCGCTTACAGAGCTTGAGGTAAGTTACCCTGAGAAGGAGACATTCTATTTTGGTCATTCAATCTAAGTTCCTTAAGCGCAGCCATTGAATTGCGGCGTGTCTGGGACGAATCTTCCACTAGCATAGAGATTAAGTCATCTAAGTCTCGGGCTTTCTTGCCTTTGTTATGTTGAAAATTGCTTTCCCCGAAGCTAGAATATACCCCCATACATCGATCCTGCTCAAAGAACAATAGTCTTTTGGATCATCCTGTTGCGGTTCCATGTTTGTTCAGGAGAGGGTCTCCTTAGAACCCTAAACCCCAAAACCTAAACCCTGCCAGGCACCAACGGTGGAATCCACAACGAGGTTGGCACCATCGGTCTCGGGGCCCCAGCACCAGATTTTGGTCTGAGCCACCTGAGGCGTGCTCTGATCTTTGAGAATTTAAGGGGTTGAGGGTTTCGGGTTATGTTTTAGGGTTTAGGCGTTGGCGTTTAGGGCGTAGGGTTTAGGGTATATAGGGTTTAGGGTCTGCGGTTGGGTCCTGCCCCCACCCACTTCAAGTTTGTAATAGGATCATCTTAAGGGCTCTCTATCATCATATTAATTATATTCTATTCTATTACCCAACTGTCAAGAAGGGGGGCGGTATCCAATCTTAGGGTTGAGTTGCTATTTCTAATCTCCCTAGTATCATCCTTGCGATTGTCTTACCATCCATCCTTAAAAAAAAAGGATTCCAGTGTCGTGGTGCACTAGAGGACCCGGAAGAAAAAAGCTTAGAAGCCACGACTTTGTCAGTAGAGGTGGGTCGGAATCCTAAACTATGGTCATATGAGCCCTAGCCTAAACTCCTGAAAGTGGGTTATATAGGGGATTATTTAGGGGACCACTATAGGAGTTATTTAGGGGGGACACTAGGAGTATATCGGAAAGACCGAACTACACGGCGCCCTACGCCGCCGCAGTAACCCCAACTTACTTGCTCTTCAGAAAAAAGGCTAGGTTATTTACGTGGATTTCGCTTTGAATTGCGAGATGTCAGGGAACTTAAAGTTGTGCTGCGATGAAAGAATCTAGGCCTGAACACCTGAAATTGGCCATAAACCCACAACACCTGAGCCCCAAACCCGTGAACCTCAACATCCATAGCTCATAGCCTGAAAGTCCTACACCCCAGGTTTAGGGTTTACAGCGAGGACTTGCCTGCTTGTCCCACTCGAACTTCTCACACAGGAGCTTAGCGCGCTCCTCACCAGTGATGAGTAGGGTGAATCCTCTAACTGTTAAGTCATAAGCTCGTATATCATGGACTTTAATCCACAAATTATTTCGAATTTTTCGCGAATTGTTTCGAGCCTCCCCGCAAGAACAATGTGGCCCACGCTTCAGCCAAGTGGAGAAAAGCACTCCGCGATTAGACCCTGTCAGGATCTCTGGCCCTGCAGGTAAGCTTGAGGCTTATGCAGTCGAGGGACTCCAACCCCACGGCCAGCCTTGGGAACAAGCCTTTTGAGCCCCTATAACCCCCCAAAAACCTTGAACGGTCCAGAGACCTCAACCCTACACCCTAAAGCCGTAAGTAAGGCCTTTGTACTAGGACATTTTTGGCTGGGGAGCTAGCAGCTGGTACCCTGGCATAAAGCACACATGGGGAGAATAGGAGGCATGTAAGGGCTACATGGGCTTATTACATGGGGCAACCCTGAAACTGCCTTAGATATTGGGGCTACCAAAATCCATTTTTTGTACCTAAGCTCCCAGATCTCTGCAAAATCCCCAGTGCCCCCAAACCCGAAACCTTTAGCCCTGAACCCTAAACCTCTATAGTCCCCTTGTAGTAGATAGAATATGGTGTATATGGCATTCTATTATAATATACCCCAAGCCATATTCTATCTACTTGAGGGGGACTACAGCCGCAATATATACCCAATTATAATACATTAGTCTCCGTTCTCTTTTCCATTATCCCTGGAAAACCACAATATACCCCGTATTCTATCTACTTCATTGGGACTTTAAGGATTCCATAACCTAAACCTATAAGTCCAGATCTCTAATCGGTCCTTGGGGTCTGCCTTGGGGCCAGCAGCGCCATCCTCAATAGCCTGCTTGAGACGTTTCCAAGAAGTAGGGGTCCCCTTTGGTTTAGGGTTTAGGGCCTTTGTAGCGTTGATATTCGGGAATCTAGTATATTCAGGGCTATGTAGGTGGACCCTGGCCAAATCCCAAACTCTACCCCAAGACATGGTTTAGGGTGTAGCGTTTGGGTATTGGGGCTGGGGCTTAGGGTTAATAGTTTGGGGCTTTGTCTCTTCACAGTTTCTTTCCGAGGGCTTGGGGCTGAGGAGTTGTCTACCTTACTGATATTTCAGAGCCTAGCTGCGAGATTAGGGGTTTAGGGTTTGGGATTTTGGGTTCATAGTAGGGAACAAGAGAATATATAGAATATAAGCACAGGATAATCTTTATGGGCCCTTTGGGTTCCATGTCAGTTCTCCTGAACCCTACGCCCTTGATTGCCTTGTTGAGCTCCTCGTCCATCGGCTCAGCTTGCAGGTAGATTCCTGAGGATTAAGGTATTACACTCCCCCAAACTAACATGGAAACCCATATAGCCCCCCTTTAAAAGGACTGTAGTCTTTATAGGGCCTTTTTTGGGCTTCCATGTTAGTTTCCGGGAGTGTAGGTTCTAGGGATTCCAGGGTTTGACGGCGCTTAGGGCTTGGAGCTTAGGTTTGCGTAGTCTTTCCGTATTTCGAGCATGGTGAGGCTTAGGGTTTGGGGCACAGGTTTGCAGGTGCAGGGTTGGGAGTGAACCATCATAGGAACATGTCGGGGTACAAGGAATGGTATAGGGACCCTATATTGCCCAAATATCCAGAAGCTACGTATGCCTAAATCCCACAGCTGAAGGACTGAGTTGTGACTTTGGGTTGGGGTTTTAGGGTTTAGGGTTGTTAGGTCCGATCATCGTAAACCACAGCGGCACTAGAAGACAACACAGGCAAGCAGAACATTTCCATAACTAGCCTTCACCAAACGGAAAATGAACACGCACATCTGCAGAGAGGCGTCCCAGTCTATTTCTGCAAGAGCAGGTGATCACACAAAACGACAAAGGTCGATTTTGAAGAAAACCACGATAAAGAATGAAACGGCACCAACCACAACCAAAGAAAAGGAACAACCAACCTCAACCCGGGAGCGAAATGTGCACCTCACCTATCCCCCTAGTACCCTCAAACCCTAAAATTCCCTAAGCCCGAAGCTCCTAAACCAAAATCCTAAACCCCTCAACCCTAAACCCTAAACCCCTAGTTCCTAAATCCCTAAACCCCTAAACCCTAAACCCCGAGGTAACCTTGCAGAGTTTCGGTTGTGCTTGTTTGGGGACTTGGCCAGGCAGGTCACGCTGGACGTCTCACTGACCTTAGCTGACTGGTTCAGGGTTTATGGTGACTCCAGGACCCTAAACCCTCAAAGTTCAGTGTTTGGGGACCTTTTGGGTTTAGGGCTTAGAGTGCAGGGCTTGGCCCCCCAATTCAACCCAGATCCTAAAAGTTCAAAGTTTTTGGAAGCCTGTTGGGTTTAGGGGTTGGATTTAAAGGCTTAGCCTCCCCATTAAACCCTGGACCCAAAAACCTAGTCCCCAGACCCCAAACCTAGGAAGTCCGTAGGCTGTAGCCAGCCAAAGCCAAGTGACGGTCTCGCGGTAGGACACCACGGGGTCAGACACGATGAAGTCGCACTGGGCATACTCATCCTCAGGAATCATTGGATGGGCGCTCTTGAAGAATTGAGCTTCGTATACATAATTGCTACTGAAGTATTGAACCGACAAATTCCGGTAATAACATGGGACGCATACAAATATGTTAGAAATCCTGAGTCAAAGGGGTAGACATCAACCTTGAAAGTGTGTAGCAATTTCTTGCACGAAAGCGCCAAATAGCAGTATGCCTAAGCCCTGGCATCCTAAACCAGAAGCCCCTTTGACGCCCAATGTTCCCTACAGCAAGAGCCAACAACAGTTTTCCGACAACATGAGCACAGCACTGCAAGCCGCCAAAAACACCGTGCCAGGGGTACTGCGAAGTGCAATCAAAGTGTAACTCGGAAGTCCCTGGCAGGTATTATCGGATTGGGGATGCACAGCAAAGAAATGGGCGTCCAGGTTGAAATCATCACCCAAACCCATGAGTCCTAACCCCGAACCCCAAATCCTAAACCCTCGTCCGGCGTCCTTCAAGTCCTTCAAGCAAATCTCAACGTGCAGCTCGCCGCAGCCTGCGATCACGTGCTCGCCGCTCTCCTCCGGAAAGTAGGGATGAGGGTGCAGGAGCAGGGTTGCGTTTGTTTAGGGTTTAGGGTTTGTGGATGAAACAATAAAACCCTAGTTGAGGTTTCCCCAAACAGAGGTATCCTTCAAGGCCATGGGTTCAGGGCCTGGGCTGGTTGTTAAGTTAGGAGTCATCGTTGCATGTTTAATGTAATGGCCTGCCTGTTAGAATAGGGTTTTGGGGTATGATTATTATGTGTTAGTTGCATATATGTATATGTATATAGAGCGGATATGAGGGAATAATACTGGCGGCCTTTCAGGCTTCCACATTAGATTCTTAGCTCTTCGCTCTTGGTCAGTATTTCGAAGCTGGTGGTTTTGGCCCTCCATACCTTCCGCTTTCATCTTCATGGACCCCAAAAACTCCAACCCAAACCAACTTCCAGGCGAAGGACACCAGTTTGGGCTTAAGCAGCTTGGCGTCCAGGGTTAAGGTGTAAAGTTCAAGCCCAAAGACCTAAACCCTGAACCCTAACTACTAGGTGCGCGGTGCATACCCGCCCGTGGTACGGAATGAGGATAGAACGTCTTCGGGGTGTGGAAAACCCTAGCAGGCGTGTGACTCGTGAAAATGTAGCACAAGAAAGGCCGA